GGCTTTTTTGTTCCGCATAGCGACAAATCCGTATAGCGACGATTTTTGCAGAACGGATTATCGTCGCTATGCGGGGCGCCACTGTATTGTGCCTGTTGTCTCCTCACTGGTAATATCGCTCCCCCTTCAAATGTTAGCATTCTGTTTTAGCTCAGAAGGTTTATAGTGATGTTCCTGAAACCTTTCACCGGGAGATGGGTGAATCTGGTGATCGTCCACTTGATTGGTTCAGTTCTTCCTCCGTCAAACCTTCAAAAGGATTTTCTGTTGTTGTCCCCATTTCCATGGTCCCTTATCTGTCTCCTAAGATAATACCGAAATCTGCTTTCATTGTCTTACTGAATCCTAGTATTCTTTTGCCCCTTTGTTGTGTACAGGTTGTCTCTCTCCTCCTCTTCCTCCTCCACCTCCTTTTATATGGGAACTTGTATATGTTCAGTGTGTATACAAATAGCAAGGAAACAAAAAAAGAGATGTTTTTCCTCCCCATTCCTTAGGAGAGCATTTTCGAGTGCGGGAGACGTTCCTTGTCTCTGTTCTATCAGTTTGAGGTGAGAAACCAAACCTACTAGAAGCCAGTTTCGGACTGCAAACCTGAAGCACGGCATGTGTGTGTGTACACACAGACACAGACACACAGACACACACATACTTTGCATTTTTCTTTTTTGCTCTGTTCTATCAGTTTGAGGTGAGAAACCAAACCTACTAGGAGCCAGTTTCGGACTGCAAACCTGAAGCACAGCATGTGTGTGTGTACGCACAGACACAGACACACAGACACACACATACTTTGCATTTGTGTCTTCTTTTTTGTTTGTTATTCTTGTTCACGCTGTGATTTTTCGTTTTGCTTTTCTTTCGGTTCAGCCTGCCATGGAAGGGGTAGAGGTGAGAATTTCTTTCCAGTGGAGGCACCCAAGAAGTTGTTCTTTCTTTCTTTCTTTCTTTCTTTCTTTTTTTCCTTTCTGTCTTTCTTTTTTTTTTTTTTTTTTTTTTTGCTATGGTTTGTTCCGAGTTGTATTTGTTCCGTCCCGGGCAAACTGCATTGTGCCTTTGAGTGCAGTGCTGTGACTTGTCCTATGTTGTTGTTTTTTCTTCTTCCCCCTTATTCTTTTTGTCTGTGGCGGAGTGGTATGAGTAACCTTTTACTGTGACCCGTGGAAGGACTTTTACAGCATGTTCTTTTTTGTTTTCTGTTTTGTTGGGAAATTTGGGGTGCGGCGCTGTCGCCTCTCGATGTTTTGAAGTGAAATGCTTTGAGGAGCTCATGCCAAAAGGAACAGGCTTAAAAAGCAACGTTAGAGGTGGTAGGTCTCTTCCGTAAAACTAATTTTCGAGGGCAGTTGGAAAACGTTCCCATAGAGAGTTTGCTTCAGGAAATGCAACTACCGTATGGAAACTACTCTGCAGGGTTCATGCATGCACACATCCTTTCTCTTCTTTTTATGGTGTTTGACTTCCTTCCAGGAAACGGTCTATGTGATTAACATAGAAACAGCCATACTCTCTCTACGGCAGTGGTTCCCAACCTTTTTTCTGTACCCCTTGGCAGCCCATTTCCATAAATTGTACCCTTCCTATTAGGAGGGCGGGGCTAAGGGGGAAACGCTCCGCCCTCTCATCTTCAGGCGGCTTCCTCGTTGCTTCCAGCAGCGTGCATGAACACACCAGTGAAGGGGTTAAAATCCGGAAGGAGTTTTGTCCCAGACGGAGAGCCATTGAGAGGATAGGAGCAGAAGGCAAAAGTTTCCATGTTAATGGCGGAACTAGGAACAGATACCGCCTTGAAGCAGCAGCCAATTGGCTGGGCACTCACAGGGTGGGCGGGGAGAGAAGGAAGAACTTTCAAGGGGTTTCCTCACTGATATAAATACAGTGGTGCCTTGCATAGCGACGTTAATCCGTGCAGCAAAAATCGCTGCTAAGCAATTTCGTCGCTATGCGTTTTTAAAAAGCTCATAGAAACGCATTAAAACCTGCTTAATGCGTTCCTATGGGCTAAAAACTGACCTTAAAGCGAAGATCCTCCATACGGCGGCCATTTTCGCTGCCTCTTAAGCGAGGAATCCGTGCAAAAGCACAGCGGGCGGCAATTTTGTTTACCTGGCAGCCATTTTGGAACCACCGACCAGCTGTTAAAAATCATTCCTTTGCTATGATCAGTAAGCAAAACAGGGTACCGATCATCGCAAAGAGAAAAACCCCTTTGGAAACATTGCAAAGCGATCGCAAAAGTGATTGCAAAATCTTCGTCACTATGCGGTTTCGTCGCTAAACGGAGCGCCCGTTAAGCGAGGCACCACTGTAATGTATGTGACTTTTCTGGTCAATAATCAGGGTTATAAGCTGCCCAGAGTAGACCTTTGATCTAGATGGGTGGGGTGTAAATCTAAATAAATAAATATTTTTGCATACCCCTAAATGTCCTGGTTTGTACCCCTGGGGTACTACCCCAGGTTGGGAATCACTGCTCTAGGGGAGCTGTTAAGAGGGGCAGGAATGTATTTTGAAGTAGCTAGTCCCTAGGGACAGTTGAAACGTAATGCTGGCCCCCGTAATGCTGAACAGATGTATTCCTGTATCGCTTTTGCACAAGTCAAGTTTTTGACAACCGGTTCTGACTTTGTGAGTCACGCACCTTTTGGTGGCCTCAAGGATTAGACTTCCTGGGTACCTCGATGGCCATTCCCTCTTTTTTTTTTTAAAAGGAAAACTTTAAAAATGCAGCAAAAGAGCCCAGGGGTAAGTAGCTGTGGTTTAATGCCTTACCATGGTTTGACAGCTGTGCCCCCATCCAGAAGAGGGGAGATGGCTCCAGCTAGAATGTGTCGTGTTTGAACACTGACTTAAAAAAAAAAAAGATATTTGCTAATGTTTCCGTTTTACCTGTAGGAAATGAAGATTTGCTCAGCAATTATAAACCTGTTTCATCTGATCCCGGCCGCGCCTCAGACGCTCGTTAAACCCTTGCTGGAAGTTGTCATGAAAACAGAACGGGCTATGTTGATAGAGGTAATAAGGGAACATTTAATTTCCTTAATTGCTTCCATTCTTCCCTTTGTAATATTTGCCTTAATCGTATTTGGCATGGCTCTGAATCCCTTGGGCAGTTCTGTTTGATGGAACACACGGCTCCGTGGATGTATTGTCTTCTGTTTCAAAAATAAGTTTGGGGATAGGTCTCATGGAGTCTAATGAGCTGACAAAAGATTTTAATGTAGATTTAGGGAATCTGCCTTTGGAAGAGGCAACCACATGTACTGTCCCTTGGGATCGGCTTCAGTAGTCTAGCTGTGGGTCCCCTCCCAAGGGAAGGGGGGATGACCAAGAAACTGGTCTTCTTAGCAGTGGTACCATAGTTGTGGAAATGACACTTTGGAAAAGCTTATCACCTTCATGATTATTTCAGTGCCAGGTAAAGGGCCATAAGAACGAGCTTTGCAATGATGTGTGTTCTGTGCTGTCAAGTCAGAATGGATTTATAGAGACCCTAATTGGGCTTTCAAAGGCAGAATTTGTTCTTGATCGTCCCGGAGTGCAGGACACGTAATAATGGGCTCAAGCTACAGGAAGCCAGATTTAGGCTGAATTTATCAGGAAGAAACTTCTGAACTGTTAGAGCGGTACGACAATAGAACGAATCAACCTGGGAGGTGTAATCTGTCAGAAGTACAGTGGTGCCTCACTTAACAATTGCCCCGCATTATGACGAATCCACTTTATGACAAGGGTCTAAATGGGGGAATTTCGCTTAGCGATGATTGGTTCCCTACTTCGGGAACCGATTTTCGCTTTACAAGGATCAAAAACAGCTGATCGTTGGGTTTTCGGAATGGCCGCCGGGTGCTTAAAATGGCTCCCCACTGTGCTTAGGGACGGATTCCTCGCTATCCAGGCAGCGAAAATGGCCGCCGTATGGAGGATCTTCACTGGACGGTGAGTTTTTACCCCATTGGAACGCATTGAACGGGTTTCAGTGCGTTTCAGTGGGGTTTTTAATTTCTTTTTACGATGTTTTCGCTTAACGGTGATTTTCCCGGAATGGATTATCGTCGTTAAGCGAGGCACCACTGTACTTTGAGTTAGATTCCTGCATTGAGCAGAGGGTTGGACTTGATGGCCTTATAGGCCCCTTCCAGCTCAATTATTCTATGATTCTATAAATGAAACGTTTAAGGAGTGGTTTTACCAATTCCACATCCCCAGTTGGTTTCCATGGCCAAGTGGGATTTGAACTCTGTTCTCCAGAGTCTGACTCCATCTATCTATCAACTATGCCACACTGGGAATCCCCTTTTGCAATTAGGAGGTGATAAAATGGCATTTGTCTAGTGACGTTTTCTCTCAAAACTGCCCTGTTTGTGCTTTTAGCCTGCATACAAAGCTCGTTTATTTCCCACTGATCGATCATCAATTAGAAGTGAGCGGATTAGCAGCTCAGGGGATTTGTAGGAATTTTGTGCTATGAAAAAAAATTCAGAAACATCCTTTATCCCTTAAGGCTCAAGCTTCTAGTTAGGAAGCTGGTGTCTCATGCAGTCTGACCAAAAATCTTCTTTGTTAATCTTCTCAGGCTTTTGAAGTATGGGCTGGCATTGAGGTCCCTCAATCTGCTCATTTCTGGGGA